ATGGCTTTTAATTAACATAAAAATTTACCATATATTTAACAAAAAATATTCATCAATTATACAATACAAAAGGATATGAAAGATTATGATTGGAATTTGAATATTCTGAAAAGATCTATGATTATTATTATGCATGATTTAGAAATTATGTATTTGTCATTTTCAAAAATATTACGGAAATGTTGTTGTTTTTCATAAACAAACATAAAGACGTTTTGCACTTGATTTAATAAAATTTTTTTCTACATGCAGTTTATTAGTTATCCACATTTGTCCAAACACAAAATGTCCAAATGTAAACATTGAAAAAACACAGTGTTCGTATGGACAGCGCCCAGAAATATTTGTTTTAAACAACTGAAAATTGGAAAGGAAACAAAAATAATTTTTTCCCAGCAACAAACACGACATTCTCGAAAAAAAATATTAAAATTTGTGGTTTGTTTTCATTTTTTTAAATTCATTAATCAACAACAACAAAAAACCTGCATCTTTCACTTTCTATCACTTTTATTATGATCACTGTCATTTGATAATGGACAAATGAATGAATTAATGAATGGGAAAATTGCCTGTCAAACGAAAAACAAAAAAATTCTGATAAGAAAACAAAAAATAGATTCTGTATATATTCACACATTTAATTTCAATTAAATTTAATTATCATCATATTTTCAGTTATTTTTGGATTGTGAAATATTCAAATTTTCAAGTTTTTCTCAACCCACTGGTCATTTCCTGTATAGATTTACCAAAAAAAAACATACATCCAATTATCATTGAATTTATGATTTAAAAAAAAAATTTAATCAACAAACAAACAATAAGACATTGAAATAAACAAGTTTTGAATCAAAAGGGAATTTTTTTTTGATGATAATCATTATTAAATGATCATCATGATGATCATAATCAGAATGGAAAAAAAAGAAAGATTCACGTTAAAAGGCCATCATTTACACACACACACACAAACATCAAACGTTTTTGTAACCATTATGTTCCAAAATGAACAACAATGATTGTTCATTGTGATTGTCTTTTGTTGTTGTTGTTGTTGATGTGTTATGGAACAAACAAAGAAAATTGTCGCATAAAAACATACACCAACAATGGGCTATTCAAATACACACACACACACATACAAACACAAATCGAGGAACAAAACAATTTCCAATCAATCTGACTATCTTAACCATAGAGGATGATGGACGAAATTTTTTTTCTCTTTTCCTCTTGAATCAGGATTGTCAATCATAGTTAGTGTGTTTTTGTGTTCCTGATTTTATTTTTCACCTTAATAATCTTGATGAAAGTAAAAAAGAAAAACCATTCAGGGCTATATATCAGCCAGTTTGATTGTTTGAATTAAACATTGACAGAAAAGTTCCAAAATGAAACGAAACAAGAAATAAAAATCAATACAAAAAAAAAGAAAAAGAAAAGAGGACAATAACAACTAAATATTATTGAATATTTTGCCTGTCAAATTTGCTTCCGATTAGTTTCTATATTCAAATTGAAACTATTAAATCGAATGATTATCGGAAAAAAAAATATTTAGGTAAATATCTTGATCAAGTCAGATAAGTCACCGATCACGAATTATTTATCAATCAAAATGCAACAAATCAATCGATCGGATTTTCATAAATATTAAATTTTATTTATTCATTAAAATGCTTTTATTAAAGTGATGAAATCTACAATGAAATTATTAAGTTCTTTGAGTTTATCATTCATTAATTGAAATTATTTTTGAATACCTGCAAAACAAAACCAATCAGAAAAATAACTCCAGACTTGGTTTTCCGCATTCTTTAAATGTTTATCATGTTTTGCTTTTCTTCCTCCAGTATCTACCTCTGTCATGATCATGGATGACCATCAAAATCTATATCATATCTTGATTATTAAAAACTTGAATGGGTGATTTAAAACAGAATTATGTCGATAAATTCATCCTGTTAGATGTGAAATTAGGTCAGCCATCATCATCATCATTATCATAATAATATTAAATCTTGTTGCTGATGTTCATATCAGATACACCATACACCATACATATAAATGAATAATTCCGGTCATTTGAATGTTGTTTGATAGTTGAAGGCCAATGTAAATTTAACCGTATATATGTGATGTTTGATTTATGTGGATCATAAAGAGGTTATAAGTCGATGAAAAAAAACAGTCTCTTTTTCTTTCGGCGTATGTTATAGTGAAGAATGTATGTTTGTATGGCAATCAACCGAAACGGTAATGGGTCATCATCAAAAAAAACAACACATATCAACAAGTGTGCTTGTTTGGTTGAATAACAAAACAAAAAAAAAACGATTCTTCATTACCACTAGATTCATGGATAATTTTTGATGGTTGTTGAATAATGATGATGATGATTATGATGGTTGATTATGGTCGGTAATGTTGACCTGGAATCTGATAATGTTTGAAAACTTGTCGATCTTTTTTTCTACCTAACACCGGCTTTTGTTATTTATTATTGTTGTTGCATTTGTGTTTAGGAGAACAAATTATTTATTCAACAAACGAACAAGTTTGCAATGGTTGTTTTTTTGTACAAAAAAAAATCTATGTGAACAGTGTTCATCGAATCCAGTTATCCTTTTTTCCATTCAATTCAACCATTATTGGTCGTATATTGCAAAAAAAAAGAATAAGAAAAAGAAAAAATATGTCTAAACACTGATAAACAATTTTTTCCTGTTTCGAATGTTTTCTGGCACAGAACATCATCAGTGAAGAAAGATCAAGTTCAATTGAATCGATTCAATTCATTTTTCGAATAAAGGTTTTGCTGTTGATGTTGTTGTTGTTAATTGAAAATCCGTGCCATCATCATCAAATCAAAAAAAGATCATTGATTAAAGTGGTTTGTTGTTGTCTTTCGTTTTTTTTCTTCATTTTCTTGTTAGATTGAATCAATCAAAATCTAAAGAAAGAAAAAAAATTATTTCATTTCGATTCGAATGAATGAATGTTCAAAAAAAACGAAATGTATTTTTGAATCATTTTCAAATGAAAAGAATTATCGAAAGATTCCCAATAATTATTCATTCGTTTATTTTACTGATTTTTTTTGAATAATAAATCATTTTCATACACTGAAAAAAACCATTGCACAAAATAGTCAAAAATCGAAGTGGTCGCACATTTTTAGTCAAAATTGAAGTTAGTCACTCTGAATTAGTCAAAATTCTGATTAGTCGGCCTGCATTAGTCAAATTCTGAATTAGTCACATTCACGTTAGTCAAAATTCTGATTAGTCGACTTTCATTAGTCAACCTATTATATTAGTCAAAAAGCAGATTAGTGAAAAAAAAATTTCAGTGTACCAATATTTGTTACACCTTATTTCTTTGAATTCATTATTGATTGTCCAAAGTTTTTTTTGTTTTGCTTCATGTCTGTCTAACTGTCTCTATTTCCCTCCAACCTTTTTTTTCAATGTTATTTCAAAACGTATTCCATTTACTTATTAACAATGATTTTCCTGGTATCATCATCATCATCATGTATGTCATGAAGATGTCTCGGATATCCTATAGTGATAGACAAATAAACCTCCTGTGATGATCAAATATAAAAAAAAACAAATATTTTTCAAATCGATTTTTACAATCAATACATTATGGCAATTCATTACATTATTATCATAATGAAAAAAAAACTCATCACCATCATCATTATCATCATCAATGGCAGAAAATAGGGGAAAAAATATATGAAAACATCCGGAAATCAAACATTTGTTGTTGTTGAATTTCTCATCTTTCACAAAAAAAATGAAGAAAATATTTTCCAATCATGATAATGGTTTGACGAAGATAAGAAAAACATGAACCCAACATGTTTTGTTTCCATATCAGTAGTGATATCACCATGAATCAATGTTGATGATGAAAACATTTTTCTTTTCTTTTTTTTTGCCACAAACTTATATTGGATTATTATTATTTACCGGCATTATTAGTAAAACCCCGGCATACAGATTGAAAGATTCATTTAATTTTTTTTCCTTAAATTTAATATCCTGATTCAATTCATATGATATACGATGACCATATCTATCAATCTCTATCGATGATGATGATGATGGTTTGTTGATTTGATCAACCGATAATGATAAAATTGACCAGCATTATTATCATGGTGATAATAATGATGATGATGATGGTTATTTTTAGTAACACATCCATGTGCACTGGCATCATCATTTTAATAAATTTTTTTCTGTTTTACTTTGCTCCAGCTTTTTTTCTGGGATTATTGATCATTACATTTGTGCTACGTAAAATTTTGCTTGCTTGTTTGGATATTTTTTTTAGTTTTCCTTCTTCAATTGTTGTCTACCATGACATGATGGTAATATTTTATCCGGTACACAACAACAAACATCATAAATGATCATGGATGATGTCATTTCTTTATTTGTCTATCTATCTTTGTCATTATTATTATCATACATAGGGCAGATACCTTTTTTTTAAAAAAAATGTCAAATGTTGAACATTTTCGATTATTTATAAATGATGATCATTCGAACTATATATTTTTGAATCTCTCTGTGTAACAAACTAATAATAGTTTGTTTTGTTTTGGTTTTGGTTTTTTTCACGCCCCAATATTTGAATGAGAAATGAAATTTTTTTCCCATAAATTCATCATGTATACCGTGTTTGTTTGTTTGTTTGTTTGTCAGGTTTGTCAGATTTGAAATTCAATACTGAAATTCATCATTCAATATGATAGATATAAATATTTATTCAGGAAAATATTTTTCTCTTTTAAATTCAAATCATATAAAATACATTCGAATTGATTATCTAATAGGAAAAAAATAAAGAAACAAAATATTACATACAGAAAAATGAAATAATCAATAAATATTTGATTCAGTTCAGTTATAATCGAATCAACAATTAACTGAAAGAATAGAAAAAAATTTGTTTGAAAAAAAAACTAATAATACAATTAAAAAATAGCTACAAAGAAGAACATCAATGATTATCTTTTATTACGATTATTCATTATCATCATTGCTGAAAATCTTTCATGTTCAATACGATCATCATTCATATCGATATATGAATAACGTGAAAATGGTTGTTCAAACATCATTCGTCTTTGATGATCTTTAAATTGTTGTTGATTATGATTTTGTTTACGTTTATTTTCATTAACAATTTCTTTGGATGATTTTTCATATCTTTTACTAATTAAATCTTTTTTTATATTTGATGATGGTGGTGGTGGTGGTGGTAATAATGGTGGCTGTTGATGCTGTAACACATAATATGGTGGTGAAATTGAACGATCATTCATATCGGCAACAATAGTTGCATGATTATTATCGAATGATTGAAAATTTAATGACATCGGTCCATAATTATCCGATTGATGATGATAATTTTGACGATCATTTTCATTTGAATTGACAGCCAATAGTTGATCTAACCGGCCCATTGATCGTCCACGATTATATGATGATGATGGACGATGATTATTCTCATGTTGTACTTCTCTAAAATTTGAAGAAAATTCTGCATCGGCAAAATAAAATTTTTGTGTCGGTTGTCTCGATTTTACGTTAGCTAATCGAGAATGATGATTATTTTCTTCATTACGATGATGATAAGGATTATTAAATCGTTGTTCACGTCTACCGATTACACCCGACGATGATGATGTTGATGAAATTAAACCCGATGTTGTTGTCGTGTTCAAAGATTTGTCGACTTCATTATTAATTATTTGTTGTCGCATAATTTTATTATTGTTGACCTCTTTTGTTGTTGACCGTTTTTGTTGTTGTTGTTGTATGGCCATTGTTGAACTCGATATTGGTTCAAGATTTGGATTAGAATAAAATTTTTTTCTATTAATGTTGCCACCATTGCTGCTGCTGTTATGATGATTATATGGAGCGGACGAAAAATCGGGATTCAATATTTCCGAAGTAGCATGTTGTTGTTGTTGTTGATAATGATGTTGATGATCGTCACGACCACGACCAAAATGATGAAGATTATTTGCCGCCGTTTGTTCATCGTTGTTGTTGTTGTGTTCTTTTGTCCTCGTCAATGGTGATGATGATGGATGAATTAAATGTTTTTGTTTATGAAATTGATGTTGCACGTGTTGACTTGGTAATCGTTGCCGTGTTCTTATGTCATCAAAATCATTATCATTAAATGATGTCGGTGATGAAAGTTGTTGTTGTTGTTGTGTTGGCATCAAATTGTATGTTGATTTTGAACGAGATCTAGATGATTGTTTTGATTCTTTTTGTATAGATGGAATTGTTGTGGAAAAAATAACATCCTCTTCGAAATCTTCCACATCAACCTCTAAACAATCAACAATTGATCCATTATTATTTAATCGGCCACGATGATTGACACCACCACCAACATTTACATCATCATTTGATGATGATGATGAACTATCACTATGATGACTGACTAAATCATCATCGGCCGATGTTTCACGATTATATCGATGTTCTAAATATGATGATCGATGATGATTTGATGAACGAGGAGATTCGTTAGCGATTGAACATGAATCAAAATAATATGATCGTGGTCTTGTTGTTTGTTGATCATTACATAATGCTTCATCTGATCCAAGACCACTTGAATTTGATTTTCCCGATGATTCGGATCTTGATAATGGATGATTCGAATGTTTATCATGTTGATTTCGTTTTTTATCCATTGCTTTTAAATTACTTTCAGAATTTTGGCTCTCATAATCACGTGGTGGCAATAATAATGGACCCACTTTTGGATTACCCAATTTAGCTCGAAGTTCAGCCGCTAATGAATCAAATAGATTTGATTGGTCACCATCATCTGGTATGATTTTAGGGCTAATTTTTGCCGATTTGTTTTTTGCTGATGATTTATTAAATAATTGATGATGACTGGATGATTTAGAATCACTTCTATATTGACAATTATTATTTCTATTCGATGATGAACGATTTATAGCGTAACCTAGATCCGAAGAATTTGATTCTTCTGAATTGATTTCATCTGAACCATCCGTACGAGTCGAACGGCCATCCGAATTCAATGTTTTACTTGCCGAAGGTGAATTATTTCGAAATGATCGTTTTAATAATGGATCATGATGATGATGATCGAATGGTATTGATCCACGAGAATCGGAACAATCATCAAACAATGAGCTAGGATGATGACAATTAGATGGTGGTAATGGTAATGGTGCAAGTTGTAAAGGGCCACATGGCTGTGGTTGCATTGGTGGTATTAATAATCCTTTTGCCGCTAAACGCATTTCAATTTCACGGAATTTTTTCTGATTTTCCGGTCGATCAATTAATGTTTGTAATTGTTGACGTAGATTATTGGCTGTTTGAATGGAATCACAACGATAGCCATGTATATGAACAGGACAACGTGTAATTGGATTATATAATAATAATATGGCACAAATAACATCATCCTCTTGATAAACCCATGATATTGAATCATGTGGTATATGATGTTTTACTTGTTCACTTTTCATCACCGATGATGGTATCGTTGTATCCGATTTACCGGTTGTTGCAACAAACAATTGTAATTGTTGATCGGGATTTAATTTACCCGATTTTCTTGGTATTGTTAATATTTGTATGATTTTTAATCCTTTTGATGAAACCTGTAAGGTTACTTTTGATGGTTCTAAATCACATTCATTATCAATCAGATAATTTAACACCGGTTGTACATATTCATCACCACGTAAACCTTTTGATTCTTTTGCTCCCAAAAACCAAACATAATATGATGCACGTTTAACGTCTTTATTCTTTATGAAATTCATTTTGAAAATTTAAAATTCTTGCTGTGTTGTTCAACAGAAGAAAATTTGTAGAATTGAAAAAATTTATTATTATCCAATATAAAGAGATGAAGTCAAATGTCCATCAAATCAAATCACAATCAATTAAAAATCAAAGTTAATGTTGAAAAAATGAAACTTTTTTGTTGAAAATAAATTCATTGAATTCTTATTTCATGATCATCACATTGAATTTATATTCGAATTCATAGAATCAAAAATGATTGTATTAAAAACAATAACAACAAATAAACATGAATCATTTGTATTTCCATTGGAATGATTTTTTTACGAACATATATTTCTACCACATATTATGATGTGTGTGTGTGTGATGTGCTTGTATCGACAACGACAAACTAGATTTCATTTTGTTCGTCGGTTAGTCAATCAACTATCTCTCTCATTTTTTTCTTAAAATTCTCTCATGTTTTCAATTTTTTTCCTTCTCTTTTTTTCTATTTTCTCTCGATACACCTGTTTTCTACATGTCACCAGTTTGTTTTTAAAAAAATTTCTTCATTTCATTTACCTGTTTACTTTCCATACTATTTTCATTTATCATTTTCTCTCTCTATCTTTATTTCTCTTTTATGGCCATCTAGCGGTATGAATGATGTTAAAGTTCACCTGTTGATCTAATTTTCTTATATTTTTTTCACTGTTTATTTCATATTTGAATCGAAAAACAAAAAAAATCGATAATAATAATAATGGTGATAATAAAAAGCATTATTTTATGGAAAATTTTCATAAAAATGAACATACATAAAAACAAATGGATTATGAATGAAATGATTGAATTGGGGTAGTTGAAATCAGATTTCTTTTCTAATTTAAAACAATTCAAAATCTGGTTTAAAGAATTTTGTTTTTGTTTTTGTTTTGACATTTTCGTTTTGATTCATTACAATTTTCTTCGATTTTGTTCATGTTTATTAATGATACGCATGAATACGCATATGAAATTATTGTATATGACAAATATAAATTGAACCGAGAGGGAAATTGAAAACAAAACTAAATCATTCTGTTCAATCAAATAATATTGAAATGTGTATTTTTGATGGTTAAGTTTTGTTTCATTATTCATTCTTGCATTCAATGCCTAATTTGATCCATTTTTAAAAATCTAAAAGTTTTACAATTTTTTTTCACTCTTATTCCCCTTTCACCTCTTCCACTTTGTTCACCCAACAGCAAAAGTTATTTGAATGATGAAATAATGTGAATTTTTGTCACAAGATTTTGTTCCTCTACTTTACGACAATAACTCGTTGATAAAAATAATACCTTTTCACTAAAATCAAAATTTTTTGTTACATTTCATGAAAAAATTGAATTTAAAACCCCTTTTTTATGCTGAATGATTATTTTCCATTATTATTTGATCAAAAACAAAAAAAATGTTCTGATGTAACAATGATCTCATTTAAATCTCATCAATTTTGATGAAAATATAATGAAAAAAAATAACATTTTGATTGAATTCGAACAATCAAATTTTCGATTGATTTCTAATTGAAAAGTAATCTTAGTGATCTTGCAAAACAGCAACCACAACTTGGACAAAATCTAAAGAAGAAATCTAGGATAGCTATGTAGTATGATGATAATCTGGAATCAATCAATTTCCAATTGGAATTTAAATTTAGAAATAATAAAAAAAATCGTGTACATTTCGAAGAAAACATTTCTAATGTATAAGAAAAAAAAGAAAGAAATTTAAATAACGAAATTTTTGTTTTTTTTTTGCGAATTTGACCTGGAATTTTGTTCTTCAGGTTGATAAGAAAAAAATTGTAATTGTCGCCAGTCATTTTAAAATCAAAATCTCATATATTGATTTATATTGTCCAGACAAAAATGTAATAATCTTAAACAAAGACCTATGACCTCAGTAATATAAAATTTATCCACATATCCACTATATGATTCTATGTCATCATGCTTTGTCATCATTAGGTGTGCAGACAAAACAAAAACAAAACAAAAACGATGCATCCAAGTGAAAAAAAATGCAAAATTCAAGATAGGATGTTATATAATAAGAATGACACTCAAAAGAACGTTCTAGCTTAGTGAAAGAAAGAGAAAAAAAATGATAATGCCATTAAGCATTCAAAAAAAAAGTAGTATAAATTCAATAAAAACAATAATGATTATGATTATGATTATATGTGATGTCAAATTGTCTTTCATGTATGTATGTATGTATGTGGAAAATCTTTCATACAAGAAGAAGATAATAATAATAATAAATGTCTATAAATAACATTAGTATTATTATTATTTGTTGTTGTTTTCCCACTTCTTTACTTTCTACAAACAAACGCACATCCTTATAAAATCAACCTAATGGATATTTAGATTTTTATTGTTGTACAATTTGGTAAATTAATTTTAAAAAATCTATAGAAAATAAATGGAAAAAATGTCATCATTTTGTTTCACTGATTTTTAAAATAAAATCCATCATAATGATGATAGTCTCAATCAAGCTATTTATCTATATCTAAATGTTTGATATCGATCATATCATCATCAATAATATTTAGATGATCTCAGACACTAATCTCAAATATTAAAAAAAATGAAATCCGTAGAGTAAAAGTGAATGAAAACATCATCATCCACTTTCAAATGGCGATGAAAAAAAAGATGCAAATCTTCAACCAATATACAATGGCTAATTTTTACCGAAATAATATTTTGAAATCAAAAGTTTTTGTCCGTTGTTATTGTCCATCATCATCCATTCATTCATTTCTATAGTATGTAAAGAAATAAATATGATACAATATCCTTATTTTTTTTGCCAAAAAAATAGAAGCTTTTGAAAAAAAAACAAAATTTTGTTCAAAAAAAAAATTCATCATTTTTTTATCATTATGAATTTTTCATTTTCTTCTTTCGCTCTCTGTGTATTGAGAATATATGAAATAATAATAATAATAATGATAAATTCATTTGAAAATTGAAACCGTTTTTTTCATTTCTTTTGAATGAAAAAAATTATATTTGTCAGTGTTGATGTCAAAATAAACCAAAATGATATTTATTCATTCTTTTTGTTGTTGTTAGGTATGTAATTGCTATTTTATTATTACTGAATGTTATTTCTATTTCTATTTCTTTTATCTATTTTGTTTGAATATATTTCGTTTTTTTTGATATTAAAATCTAATCGTGAATTCTATCCATCCAAATCCAAATGATGATGATAATAATCTTTTTGATGCCTCCAAATTTTTATCCATAAAAATGATATTATTATTTTTTATTCGACATTAAAATTCAAGTATGATTGAAAAATAAAATAGTGAATGAAAAAAAACAGAGATAAAATAAGGAATAAAACACTGTGGTTATCACTAATATTGATGATGATGATAATAATAATTAACATAACCAAATCGATTATTTCTTTTCGTTTTTTTACGATTTTCTTTTCATACGAATCATGGATCATTATGAATTGAAAATTGTTGCCGATTATAATCAACACATACACACCATATATGCAAATATGTTAAAAGATTATTCGAATGGATTTGTTTCCTTTTTTTTTTGGTTGGTTGGTTAGTTGGTTGATTGAACAAAATAAACGAAGATAATTATAATTTTTTGCAAGTTATTTCGTGAAGGTGATGATGATGAGAATGATCAATCAGTTTATCTGATCGTGTTTCATGTTTTTTCATGCTGTTGTTGATGGTTGGTTGAAAATGGTCAATGAAAATAAAGTGGAAATGCCGATGAAAAAAAACAAAACAAAAAAACATGAATTTAGATTCTAAATTTTAGATGATGAAACAAACTGAATAGATTAGATTTACATATGATGATCATCATCATACATAATAATCAAATCAATCAATGACAAAAGTTTTTACATAGCCACTAATTATTATTATCATTTTCTTTTGTATATAATGTTTAATGATGATGATCGATTTGAATTTACAATCAATTTCTTAACACGTAACATTTAATCTCTTTGATTGACAAAAGTTTTTTTCTCTTCACTTACCTTTTTTTTAAATAAAATCCGATTATAATCGAGACCAACGACAATTTGATGAAAAAGCGATGTTTCACATAGTCATTTCAATTGTCAATTGTTATTTTGAATCGATCAAGTATTAATTAATCTATGGTAAAATCATTCATTCTTTTATTTTCTCAATCTAATGCTCTCTCTCTCTCTCTCTCTCTCTCTCTCTCTCTAATCGATAATCATCATTCATTGATTGCAAAATCCTGGCTGAAAATAACTTTGTTACAATTTTTATTTTAAATATCGCAATTCAGGTAGCCATTGATTTTTTTCAAATTTCATTTCAGTATCATCAAGATTAATAAGTGAGCGTTGTTCAATCAATTCAATTGTTAAACTATGTGAGAAATTAGTAATCAGATCAAATGATTGAATCGATTGATCGATTGTTTTGTTTTTTTTTCTTTTTTTTTGGATTTATCATCATTATAATCATTGAGCATTTCTTTGAAAATAAATTTAAACATAAATGATGATCTGATTTCGTTTCCTGGCCAGATCATTTTGATTTAACGTATATTTTATTTTATTTGTAAATAACTTCTGCTGTGAATGTGATTCGTTGTAGTAATCATAACCGTAATCATCAAGATGGTGATCACCATCATCATCATCAATTGTAGTTGCTATTATTATCTTTTTCTCTCGTTTTTCTGGTCATACATTGAAGAAAGGAAAAAAATTGTTGGACTTTCTTAAGTTGTATCCTGTCAGATGTTAGTTTGCAATCTGTTTTTTTTTTCTTCTAAATACAGATGATAAGTTGCTGTTGTTGTTGAATGCAATTTTCGTATAAATCGTAATTTCACATTTCAAATGTATTCATTGTAATAGATAAGTATAACTTATAATAAAAATCATGATAAAGAATGACAAAAATGTCAGAATTTTTATTTGAATAAAATAAAGCAAGAGAGAAAACGACGATATTTACGAATAAAAGAATAGAAAGAAATCTAGTTTTTGGATAACAAATCGATTGATATCTTTATCAAT